CTCTCTCTCGTGGGACCCAGAGGAAGACAGCAGACCACCGCTGCTCCCAACCAGGCTGAGACCACCACCCTCGACTGGACTGCAATCACCACTTCTGACCAGACTGCAGCAGCTCTCCCACCAGCAGGTTTATTCCCTCTCCCTTTGCTTTGGACTCGGGGGGTGGGCCAAGGTACACCACTTTTGTTCATACCCCAGGGTGCTGGGTTTGTACATTTGGGTTTTGTGGATTAAAACCAATTGTCTGTCTGTATAATTGTACTTATTGCATTATTTTAATAAATTGTTATTCTGACTTATAAATCTCTCTTTTGAATTGAGTTCATTTTGCCTTGCTGGTTAACTTTTAAACCAGCACACCTGTCTTTAAAGGGAGACTTGTGATCCCTTTCTAACTCAGCCCCAAGTGATGTGGAAGTGTCAGTTGGTCACATCCTGGCAGAATGAAATATCTTGGTACTTAGATGTGTCCTGGGAGCTCAGTTCACCCAAGACACAGCCATTCTTCCTCAGTGGCTTTTACCTCTTATGTCCCAGAAGAGAGAGAAAGGAAAATCTCTTCTCTCCATATTGAAATAGTTGAGTTTGGGGTTGGTGGTGTGTTGTTCTGTTTCTTTTTTTTTTTCCCCAAAGGCACAGCAGAGGCTGCCATGGTCTCTGGGATGGATTTTCTTTGTACCCTTTAAAAATCAGAGATTATTTTAAGGCTGGATCCTGCTAAGATAACCTAATATCTTCCCCTGGTTTACAATCTATCATGGCTGGAGCTGTGCCAGGGCCGGGTCTGGTTGGATCTCAGGCAAAGGTTCTTCCCCCAGAGGCTGGTTGGGCACTGCCCAGGCTCCCCAGGGCAGTGGGCACAGCCCCAAGGCTGCCAGAGCTCCAGGAGGGTTTGGATGATCCTCTGGGGCACAGGGGGTGACTCTGGGGATGGGTCTGTGCAGGGTTTAATGTTGAACTCGATGGTCCTTATGGGTCCTTCTCAACTCAGCTCATTCTGAGATTCTGTGATATTAGTAAGGATGATAATTCCTGTTACGACTGGTGGAGAAGATGAGACACGGAGGGGTTGTGTTTACCAGACTGAAATGTGCAGGAACAGCTCCTGAAGAAGGGCTGATGAGTTCTGCTGGAAGGGTTTTTTGTGCAGAATCATCCACCTCTTCACCCCGTCATGCTCAGACAGTCCTTGCCTGAGGACAGGGTGGCCTTGGTGATGATTTGCTGGGCTGGAGCTGAAGCACATGGACAGAAGGTGGTCTTCCATGGACACCCTGGGTTAGTACAGATGTTTGGGGATGGTGATCTAACACTCCTATTACCTTGAAATACACTGTATTAACAAAGTGAACAGGACTGGAAATGAGTTAGGGGGAAGGTCAGTTTTGGATAGTGCACAGTATCCCCTGATTTTTAAACAATCACAACAGTGTCTCAAAGCCTGAAGCAATTTAAAGCACGTTCCTGATATTTTCATGATTTCAGTCCCTGGTTGGACAGTGTTGGAATGTGCAGTCTCTTCCTCAAGGGGAGCTGAGTGACAGATGTCAGGAAGGAGCTGACAGTTCCCAGAGAGGCCCACAGATACACTAAATTAGTGGAATTAACCACAATTTTGTTGATTGTGCCTTTATGAACAGTTCTTGTTCAAAGCTGATTTAGTCTGGCCACGAGTGCCTGGTTGGAT